TCTTTTCTTTCCTCCTGTCGGGTAAGTCTTGCTGAGTAAAATTGAGTACTTGGAGTTTATTTCCTCCTGTTGCAGGTGACAGGTGGATGCTAGAGCTGACCTTTGTGTGTGAATTTCTCCTGGTGGGCCCAGAGAGGATTTCCTTTACGCTGTGATCATAGTTTTTATTTATAACTCTAACCAAATGTTTTTTTATAAACAGAAGTTTTATAATCTGTTGTCATAGTTCATTTATCAATGCTTCATCATGTCATGAATAGATATTCATTTCCACTGTAACTCTGTTCACATATTTATATTCTGCTGTTCAATTAAATTGTTCATAACTCTGATAATATGATTATATTCCGCTATTATAACAATAAATATTATACTCTGATCCTACATGGAAAGTGATGTAAGAAATGGTTAATAATGATGTAAGCTTTATTCTCTCATTTGTGATCCTGATAGAAAAATATGGATTTTTGGTTCTCCCCTAGGTGTGCCCGATGGAACTGTGTAATTTAGTGTTCTCCCTTGAGTGCTTAGTGTCTAATAGAAGACGAGCACTCCTAGGAGGCATTAGATTAGGCGGTTCTGCCATAGTGTTTGGGTGGGGCACCGCCACCCCTAGGGTGGTGCCCACCTGATCCCGCCCGAGAGCAGCAGAGATGGAGGTGGCACCAGCATGTCCTGTGTACACCGCCGCGGTGAGGGCGGTTCACCGCCTTGTCGCCACCGCTGGTGGGGCGGTGTCACCGCCACTTTTATCTAGAGAGCAGGGGAAATGAGGTTGGTCACCGTCGCAGGCACCACCACCCTAAGGGTGGTGCACCGCTGTTATTTTCCAGAGACTGGTGTTTTCGAGAGGTTGGCCGGGTGGTTACCGCCACCCCTAGGTCGGTGCCACCGCCGCTTGTTCGGTGCCCGTTGGATGACCATTGGAGGGGCACCGCCACCCTTGTCCGGTGACCAAACCATCGTGTCCGGTGTCCTTGCAGAAAGTGGCTCCAAGGGGTAACGGCTCTATTTGGCTTGAGGGCTATAAATAGAGGTGGAGCTTGGCCTTGGTCTGGTTGCTGAGCATCCGTAAGCCTTAGTGGCTTGTGTAGGTGTGCTTGGAAACCCTCTAACTCACTCATGCTTGGTAGTGTTTACCTGATCGAGTGGGTGAGCGATTCTAGTGCGATTACATTGTGAGATTGCATCGAGTGGCACTAAGTGATCGTATTGCAAGTCGGTGGTGCTTGTTACTCTTGGAGGTTGCCACCTCCTAGACAGCTTGGTGGCTTGTGACTCTGTTGAAGCACGCGAGAAGATTGTGCAGTGCTCCGGAGGAGGATTTGTGAGGGGATTGTGCTCACCATGCGGGGATCATAAAGAGCAACTCTAGTAGAGCGTGTCATTGAGCTGCCCTCACTTGTGGGTAGGTTCTTACGGTGCCCAACATGTGGGCTTGATGTGGTGCCAATTAGCCACCGAACCACCAAGTGAACGGTCGACACAACGGGGACTAGCGTGTTGGCAAGCACGTGAACCTCAGGATAAAATCACCGTGTCATCCTTGTGTTTTCATTGGTTTGCATCCCCTTTACATAAGCTTGTAATTACTTTCATATACATTGTGCTTGTGTAGTTGCTCTTGTAATTAGTTGGCTTGTGTAGCTTGCTAGTTACCGTCTTGCTTGTGTAGCATAGAAGTAGCTCTCTTGCATGGCTAATTTGGTTTGAGTAACCTTGTTAGTCATATTGCTTAGTTTGTGTAACTAAGTAATTTGCACTCTCTATTTTGACTTGTGTAGCTTTGTTATTGAGTATTGCAAGTGAGCTTAGAAGGTTTGTGCTTTTGCTTACTAGATTGTGTAGGAACTTCTCCGGTTACTTGAAGTATTAGTGGTATAGGTTTGTGTGACCTTGCTTCTAGATTTGGTTAGGTGAGCTCTAGCTAGCCCGTTACCTTAGTTGCTAGTTTATGATATTTTAAGGTGCTTGAAAACATAGATAGAGTGGTGTAGTCTAGGATAGATCAATAATTTTAATTCTGTATTTGTTTTAGTTAGCTGACGTGTTTTATTTTAGAATCCAGTGCACCATCTCAATCCTACGTAAGCCATATGGAGAACAGAAATGTCCTAGTGTTGGAGAAGTTGAGTCATTGGGCTGGTATCGCGGAGCATCTGGACCACCGAACGCACTCAGCATAACTTTTTCGTTTTCTCTTAGGTAGTAGGTGCAGGCTGCGGTTATTGTTGTGAGTTGGGCCTTGTTTAGATTGTAACTTTTTTTAACTCGATAAATAGTACTATTTTTGTTTTATTTAGTAAATATTATTCAATTGTGGACCAACTAGGCTCAAAAGATTCATCTCGTGATTTCCAACTAAAATGTGTAATTAGTTATTTTTTTTATCTACATTTAATACTCCATGCAAGTAGCTAAAATTGATATAATGGAGAGAGAGTGAAAAAACTTGGAATTTGAATGGTATCTAAACAAGGCCTTGGTTTACTATTACACAACTGAAGCAGCCAGTAGATATAGGCCAACCAATCAAGCTAGAAATCCGTATTTGAGAAGTAAGTTCAACTCTGGTGTTGGTAACCAAACACCTTAAAGTTGCATGCGACGAGTCTAGTTGAGCAAGGATTAGCCAACCAAATAGACCTCAAAGTTATGTGCGAAGAACTAGTTACTCCCTCCATCTCAGAATAAACACACATCTCACTTCTTAAGAAATAAATTTTAATAAATTTGATTAGTAATATAAAATATAATATCAACATTTATATTTCTAACAAGTTTATTAGAAATATATTTTGTGCTTAATCTAATGATAGTTATTATATATGATAAATATTAATATATTTTTATATATATTTGATCAAATTTTAAAAGATTTACCTTCTTGAAAAGGGAAATGATGCCTTCATTTTGAGACAGAAAGAGCAAAACCAGCCAAGATTTAACTTCTTGAAAAGAAAAATGTGTTTTTATTTTTTATGGAAAAAAGATGTGTGTTTATTTTTTTTAAGAATTACACAGTACAACGTTGACGGCCACAACATGCACGCACACTCACCTCTATGAATACACGTACGCAACTCTACCCCTATGAGTACCTCAGAAGGACTATGCCTGCAGATCTCGAGATTCACGAAGTCACCACAGGCGTCTCGCTGTCGACGGGGACGTCGCCTACCACTAAAAGCATAGTATCGTTAAATCCTAAAATAAATGCAAAAAAAATATGAGCACACATGTTAAGTTGAGGACTTAAACCCGAATGGTCGGGTTCCGTCAGAAAATCTAACCACGATCAGTTTGCAAATGTGTGTTTATTTTGGGATTGAGAGCAAACACCCAGCCCACCAAATTTCGCATGAGTACGGACGGGACTACCGTTAGGGGAGCGCACGTTTGGGCCCTCGTCATGGGCTTCGCTAGCTAGCGTGGAGGCCTGCCCATAGCATGCGTCCTGATTTCCATAGTTCAGGGGAAAAGTTAAAAGTTACAGTAAATCTCCAGAAAACTATCTATTTTTTATACATGAAATTTAAAATCCCAAAATATGTTATAACCTTAGAAAATTCATATGAATTTTATTTTATCTCAGGAAAATATGAAACCAGTTTATTATTATTTTCCTAAAATCTTGTTGTGTAGATTAGTTAGAATTATTTGGATCTTGTATGATCACGTTTCGATGTTTATTTACTAGTAACTTATGTAATTATATTTATATGGAATTTGGTTTGTACCTTATAGCACTTGGTTTATATCGAGTTTATCTTTACGTATTTTGTATGGGTTTTTAATTATGATACATTCATTATCGAATCATGTGATGGAGATTCAAACATAATAATATCAAATATTAGACAGTAATCTCTATTTAAATTCAATAATCAAATATATATATTGATAAAAATGGAAATGGGGCTATGGTTAACAATGTTAGGTATAGGCTTGGCCCGATAGTGGCCATCATCCTATCAATGTCGGATCTAGCCTTTACTCAACAATGATATCTTACTATCACTGTTGATCTAGGAACCGACAATAATAGGCAAGGGCAAGCCCATCACTATCGATTACCCGATGCCGAGTCCAATTTTAGCAGTGACGCCGGATTTGGCCCCGACAATGGTCCACGGCGTTGGAGCAATGAAACTCTTAAGTCTTGTCCAGAATATATATTGGTAGGAGCTTTTCATTGTAATCATCAATATTAAGTGTGTACCTTCTGTTTTTTTACTTGCATCTATTGTGCTTATCGCGAGATGTGAAGAAAAAAAAATCGTAACCATTGTTGACGTGTTCGGCAACAGTTAGCACGTAAGTACACAAAGTTGGTTCGGAGGACGACAGAGTACCATGCATGTACTCTAGTGTTCTAGTGTGGAAGGACCAAATGTTGTAGTAAGTATTTTTAATGGAACAAAATCGTTTGACAATTCCATTATTAGATCAAACAGAAACAATACAAAAAGCCACAACAGAGGAGGTACGGGCTAAACAAAGACACCCAAACTGCCTCTTTGTAGGGGCATAATAATGGTACAGTAGAGAGACATTGTCCTCATTCTTGCCCATATAGAAATTTGGGCATTTGGCATACTCCGTACACAACTAACATCTTTGGATAGACCTCAATGAGTGATCGAGACCCAAATATGTGGCTAATATTATACCACTTCTCATCTCGCTCTTCACCCGTTGTTAGCATCATGCATAGATCCATCAAAAGTTGGGCTTCAAGTGACTGTTTGGACGCCGAGCTTGCCACCATATCTATGATTACCACCTTTCCTTTTGGTTCTCGAGTGGAAATAGCTAACATTGATTGTTTCAAGATTGTTACACAATCCTCGTCACTCCAATTATGTAATAAGATAGTTTGCTAATCCCATAAGTTCACAATTAAGGAAAAAAATAGGTGCGGACCATGTAGCTAATACGTGGGCCATGGTACCATCTTAACACATGCATGGTAAATCTGACGCCACATGGCCCACGCGTCAGCCATAAGTCCGCATGTTTGTGCGGATGGCCCTCACACAAATTTTGTCCTTAAAATATTAACGGTGCATAAAGAACCTGCATGTCTTAATAAAAGAGAAAAGAAATGAAATGAGGTAAACAAAATTAATATATAATAACTACTCATACCTTGAGTAACACAACATCAGCCGGAGGGACGAACTTCATCATGTCACCTGCAACAAACTCAACAGTACCATGAACCGGCACCTTGTCCACCACCTGGGGATAAGGATGGCAACAGGGATGTACCCGTCGGGTATCGCCGGAACGTTTTCTTCTCCGCTACGAAGAATTTATTCCGTCTCCGTTCCCGTTAACTGTCTCGGGTATAGATTCTTGCCCATCCCCGTATCCGTCGGGCATCGGTCGGGTAACAGATACCCGACGGGTACTGCATACTCGATAAACAAGGACACTTGGGGTCGCAGCTTTGCAATCGGAGACGTTTCTTCTTCACCCGGGTATAAGTGTCGGAGTCTCGGAGATGCCGAGGAGAAGGAGCGAGGTTGCGAGGAGGACGAGCAAAGGTGGCAGAGAGACCGAACTAAGGAAGCGAGGGGCACGAGCGCTCGTGAGGCAGGCATGCTTGTGCTGCTGGCGGAGATGGTAAGGAAAAATTGAACTATGGTTCCTAGAACACACAAAATATATATATATATGATTGTTCAGATTTGGACCAAAATACCTATGTTGAGCTTTTTTGGGTCTAATACTCGCATGACAGCTTAAATAGTCGGGTTCCCCCAACGGATAACGGGAACGGGTAAACAGAAAACATTCCCGTACCCGCTATATTCGTCGAAGATGGATTCTTATCCATTTAGATGCCCAAAGATAAATATATAATTCCATCCCTATCCCCTAATGGATCAGAGACCCGTCGGGTATCGGGGCCGTTGCCATCTTTACCTGGGCAAGCTTCAGCACCGAACACCTCGCATGCGGGAAGGCCTTTGCAATGGCCTTGGCCGTCGTCCCGTCCCCGCCTCCGACGTCGACGACAGACGTTACCCCCGCAAACGTCCCGCCGCACCGGCGTGCGAGGATCTCCACCACGAAGCGGCTGTCGGCGGCCATGGACTCGTTGAACAGCGCACCAAACTCCAAGTCACGGCCTGCAACGCCAAAGAACCCCGCCCCATGCGCCATCATGAACGGCGTCTCCGCCGCGGCATGGTCGTCCTCGCTCTGGAGCCACTCGGGGAGGCGCTGAGAAGCTGCGAAATGGAACGGCGAAGTGGCCGCGACCGTGAATTGTGACTGGCATGCCGTGTCGTCACCGCCGCCGTCGACGACGACGGCGTCGTCGTCCACGAGGAGGCGTGGCACCGGCGTGAGACAGTACACGCCTGGCTCGCCCTCTTTGAATATCCCCGAGACGGTTAGCAGCTTCATGAGGCGAGACACGTACGCATGGCCATTTGCTTGCAGGGACAGGGAGTGGCGCAGCCTGTAGGTCACAGATAGGGAGGCCGCGCCGCCACAGCGATGGATGGCGGTGGGGATTCCGAGCTTGATGGCGCTTTGCAGCGCCATGGACTTGAGGTAGGCGAAGGTGTGGCACCAAAGCTCAGCATCAGCTTGGACAAGTTCATCGGTGGTCGGGGTAGCCATCATGGGTGGCGTGGAAGAATTATGGCTATGAGCCAAGCTATTTTGATCCGAGGAGCTTGAGAGAGGCAGTTGTATGAGCTGGTTTTGTAAAGATGAGATGGAGAGCAAGCTATTTGTAGACACGCATGGCGTCATTCTCCATTCTGATATTTGTGAACACCCATAAAATCACATTAGATAGATATGCGCTATCTCCATGCTGATATCAGCTGGGAGAATACAAATTTAAGATCTCAAATCACTGACAATTTTCGATAATGAGAATTTGCATGGAACGTGTTCGGCGTGGTATCCCGTGGGATTGGCATCTACTGTCAGAAGTCAGAGCTCAGAATTCACATGGCAGCATCGAGCAATGTGCCGTCTCTCTCCCTCTTTAGCAAATTTATGGCCATGTTCGGCGGAACTATTTCAACCCTACTTTCCAGAAGCAAACAGTGTTTTCTCGTAATATCACAGCGGCTTTGTTTAGATTATCGTTTGTATTTGACAATTATTGTCCAATCATGACCTAACTAGAATTAAAAGATTCGTCTCGTAATTTATAATCAAACTATATAATTAATTATTTTTTTATCTATATTTAATACTACATACATGTATCAAAGATTTAATGTGATAGAAAGTGAAAAAACTTACAATCTAAAGCATAAGCGGCAACGTAAACCGACGGCGTCCTCCTGGCAAAAAAAACACTATTTATCATATTTAAACATACATTATTAATCGATTCAGCTTTTCTAAATATATATAGCTTTTATTACACATAGTTGTACAACAGGTGTCTAGATACATAAAAATGTGTAAGAAAAACCTATAATTTAGAACAGACATGATACGATAATTTTGCTAATAATATTTGAACTTAATGATGCTAGCTCGTCGTGAAAAAAGAGCCTAAGCACAGAGTTGAGGAATAAACCACCAACAGGACAACGTAGAAGTACGTGTAAATATACACCTATATGTATAAGATTACATTGCATAAATACACGCACGATCTCCATCCCGAACAGTCTATAAGATTTCAAACCATTCAGGCCTGGTTTAAATCCATGGTATAAAATTTGATGGTATAATATTAGGTGTCATACGAGAGGTGTTGCATAGGATGTTTGAATACTAATAAAAAAATAAATTACAAAATTCATCAGTAATCCACGAGACAAATTTATTAAGACTAATTAATCCGTCATTAGCACACGTGTTACTGTAGCACCACATTGTCAAATAATAGATTAATTAAGTTTAAAAGATTTATCTATATAATTACTTATTTTTTATCTATATTTAATACTCGTATAAAATATTCTACGAGATAGGGAGTACTCCCTCCGTCCCATTGAGTATGCTTAACGACGAGTATCTAACAGGCCTCGGAATCCATGAAACGAGAATACGCGTGGTGTCCCGTACGAGAGACGGAAAGTAGGCATCTACTGTCAGAGCTTCACATGGTAGCATCAGGGACGATGCAACGTCTCTTTGGCTGTCTGCAGCAGACTACTCCTTTGCCTCAATATATGTGCATGTGCATCTCACGTTTTAAAGAGTCAACTAATTTTAAGTTTAGCTAATTTATAAAAAAAAATAGTATCCATGTTTATAGCTCTAAATAGGTTTAGTATAAAAAATCTAATGTGATTAATTTAATGATGCTTATTTAATATTATAAACATTAATATTTATATATATATTTAATAAAACTTAAGATTGATTCACTTTTGTAATATTATATGTACATTTATTTTTGAGACACATGAAGTACAACATAAGGCTGTCTCCAACAGGAGACCCAAACTCAAAATAGGTCTCCAATAGAATACCTATAGCCTCCAACAAAGTACCTATATGGAAGACGCATTTTAGGTGTCAGAAGAGTTATAACCTAAATGTGATATCCTCTCTTATGTAGACCCATTTGTAGAAAGAGTTCTTTTTATGTCTTATTGTTGGAGAAGACAAAAAAAATAGATATTAAACCATTTACCTGTAACGCTACCCAAATATAGAATGGGTCTTGTATTTTGAGTAACTGTCGTTGGAGTCATTTTGTTGTTTTTATGATCGACACGGACAACACACACGGTAGGTCGCATCAACGAGCTCGCAGCTCCATCGCCTTTTCCGGTCTATCCCAACTGGACATCAATGCCCCTTAACGTGTAATCACCAACAAATACGGCAGGAAGCTTCCTTATTTCATTATTTGTAATCACCAACAAATACTCCACCCAAATAATGTCGGGGTATGGTTTAGTAGAATGTAACATAATCTAATTACTCCTAGGACAGGATAACGATACAGCTATTTGTTTCAGTCCTTCATGTTATGAGATACCGTGTAATCAAATAGCACTCTATTCATTGCCAATACCGCCGCTCCTCGACCCTTTTCTTATGTCGATGGTGTCTCTCGGCAATACCGTTACCATGTCCGCTTCAAACAAAGTCGTCTGGAATCAATGATCCCACCAATCAAACCCCAGTGAATTGATTGTATTTCAGTCACGACGTCCCGAGAACAAACCAAACACCATCAGTAAACAAGTGAGCTCTTAGGCCTTGTTTAGATTCAAGTTTTTTCACTCTCTTTCCATCACATCAAATCTTTTGATACATGCATGGAGTATTAAATATAGATAAAAAATAACTAATTACACAGTTTGATTGTAAATTACGAGACGAATCTTTTAAGCCTAGTTAGGTCATGATTGAACAATAATTATCAAATACAAACGAAAGTGCTATAGTGCCAAATACTGATTCCTAAACCAATCTAAATAAGGCCTTAGTGTGACAAGGTACGATGATCGTCATACCTTGAATTCCGAGTATTCCCTCCACTAAATCATTCTATGCCATGAGTGTACATCACGAACATAAAGTTTTACTGCTCTGATGTCTAACGGTGGCTAGAGAAAAAAGGAGAGCAGAGCCACCAAACCATTAGGGCAGCCTTGGTTGTTAGCCTGTTAGGTGTATGGCGGTGGCTTTTGGGCTTTGGTTGTTAGCTTGCTAGGTGTATGGGTGCCGTACAGGGCCCTTTGGCCTTTGGCTTGCCTGCGGCCAGCCTTCCATAGGTCCACATATTCACGCCACATGCACTGAAAGGCCGGAGAGATTGTTCATCATCTCATTGACTCCTGAGTCCTGACGATGTTTTGCAATGAAACGAGAAGGAAAGCCATGGATTATATATTAATAAAGAAGAAGATCCAGGTTGGCAAACAACGACCCCCGAAAGGGTTACAGATGGAAACTACAACAAACTACTACGACCATGAGGTCTACGACTAAGACAACTCTCTCAACAATAATACACTTACAATAAAAGCACACACCGACACCGCCACAGGAACACAACAACAGGCAATGACTAACGAAAAGGGGGGAAGAAACCTCCGCTAACAAATCTTAGGAGGCAAGACCTTTTTAAACCCATCAAAGACTTAGGAAGGTTCGTTAAAGTTGCGGTCGCATGGCTTCGGGCTTCACCACGGCCAGGACATCCATATAATGTTGTTGCTCCAATGTAGCAAAGTTCTCCACGGCATAGCATTGGTTTCAACAGGTTGCCAGCATACATCCCTCCATCAGCGGCTTCTGATCAGAGAATTTAAACCATAAATACAAGTATATAACAATATTCATCCATAAGACACAAGAGCACTGTGAAAGGGCCTATAGGCTAGTAGTTACAGGAGCCTCAGTAGCATCTTAGGTCCTGAGTTTGACCCGTGGGAGAGAATTTTCTAGGAATTAATGGTGTTGCGCTTTCAGTGGTAGGTGACGTTCCCTCTGAGAGCTGTTTTTTTATCTCAAAACCAAGAGGATTAAAAGGGATAAGAGGGGATTAAATTTCCTACATGTCAAAATCTTCCTCAACCTCCTCCAATTTCCTTTTAACCCCTTTGATATTGCTGATAAACGAACAAGGTCTAAAAAGTGTCGGCCTGTTTTTGTTCTAGTGTGGAATGCGACCGGCGCAGTGGGAGCCCAAACGCATCGTTCTCGTTCCTTCTCCCATCTGGTACAGTTCAGAGCGGGTGAAAAGAAGGCGACTTCGCCTTCGCCGCCGAATCCGTCGGTTCCCTCCCCCTCTGGTGTCCTCCTCGGCGCCGGAGGGAGAGGGGAACCGAACCTACGGTGGCTGGAGTGTAGATTACTACCCATTTAGCTAGTTCTAGTCCCTAATCTAGCTAGGTAACCTAGGCCTTGTCGGCCTATGGATGGTGGCGACGTCGCCATCTTTAGCGAATAAGCTTCTCCGGCCCCTTCTCCACGTCGCTGATGTGTGTTTCCGCAGCGGTGAAGGGTTGGTTTGCTGCATTCTCACCGGATCTGGTGGTTCGTTTGAAGATCCAGATCTCGTCGATGAGTTTTTTTGTCCCTCCCTCGTCTTCTTCGGGGCCGGGGCCAGCGACGATGCCCTCTCTGGCGAGGCTCTAGGGAGGTCTGCCTACCACTATTCTGAGGAATCGGGCTAGTGGTTTACTTGCAACTGCTTGGACGATCTTGTCCCCCTTTCGGTTGCTTTGTCGTCCGATGACTTGGGTTGCCGACGATGCTTGCGGCGACAAGTCCCATGTTTCTCGGCGACGAGATGGCGGGTGGCCATCTTTTACAGCTAGGGTGTTCAACGTATCTACGACATGTCGATGTTTTCGACATGCTACTCATTGTGGCAATGGAAAACTTTGATGTTTCGTCGAGAAGGGCTTTGGCTTCAAGCTGCAACCTTGGTGTGTTTCCACTCCAACCTGTGGTGCGGTGGGTGCTTGTCGAGGGGCTGCTCCAATCGCTGGCAACGAAGACGATCAGAGACCCTTGTATGGACTAAAATGTAATTTTCCTTTTCTTCAAGGGTGCTGTTGTAAGGGTTGCAATGTAAACCTTAAATTATACATGTGAAATACAATCCCGGTTTTTCTATATAAAAAAAAGAAAGGGGTCGGGGCTCTCCATACTATTGTACAGCCCAACTTCCCATTTCCCCATCT